CACGGTTATTGGCTAAATAACCAGGTGCTCATGGGTATATAGAAAGAACAGTATTCTATTGTGTTCAGTCTTGGTTGCAAACAACTCACGATGTATTTTATATATATATATATATATATATATATATATATATATATATATATTTTTCTTAATAAGAATGACTCCCGACGTCCATCCCGAGGTACATCTGACATTGCATCGGGTACAGGTTTCCAGATGTTTTTCTCCCTTGACAGGTTTTTATATCTAGTTTTTCCTGGGCGGTCGATGTATTCGCGATGGGGCTTTAGCATCCATTATTTTGTGTATATTTACATATGTAAGGGAAATACCTGTAATTCGTGTGGTTCCTGGGTACTGCAACCACCGCATACAGCATTTCATGATGGTGTAATTTGTATGAATAATTGAAGTGCAGTACAGATTAATGTACTTTCTTCTTATCTGTACCTCATTTACAAGAAGGTTGGTGCAAGAAATAAATGAATAAATTAATTAATTGTTTTGCAAAATTAAAGTCTGCATTAATTAATTTAAACATTGATATTAATCAATTAATTAATTACCCTAAATGCTACCCCGAAATGCCTCTGGGATCGTACGTCAACATTTTGTACATCACTGAACTACGTTTACACCCCTATCCGCTGAATGGTTGCATCCAATTACGAGTATGAGGGTCAGGTGACAATTGAAGCCGCACGACGGAATCCTTATACACAGAGAAATTTAACAACTTTACAAGATGCCGTACTGTGTTATGCGTAGCAATCTACCAAGCGAAAAACTGTCCGATGAGTTTATGAAAGAAATGTCTGCGTTTTTGGCGAAATTGCTAGAAAAGGACGAAAAGGTGATGTTGATCTCGATGCGCTGAGGTGGGGCACACCTCCTTGGATGCACTGTAATTTGTTGTACAATGGTTCTGTGGTTCTCGCGCGTTTGGCATAATGTGTTCATATTATCATACCAGCAATGTGTTCATATCATCATACCAGCAAACATAGAATAGCACATTACTTAGGGACAGACCATTCCATAAATGAACGTTGCAAAACTTGTTTTGTTTTCCTTCTTCAATACTGTGACCACAATGAAATAATGAAACGGTAATATTTCAGTATGAGTCACTGCTTTGCTAATAATGGTATATGATAGCTCACAATGTAGTCATTGCTACCTGTAGCAACACTTGGTGTAATGTAGCTATTTTTGCTATAATGCAAAACAGTTAGTGTCTCTTACTGCCCAATGCAATGGATGTATACAATGTGGCAAAGTCCATCCAATGATAAACACTTACTTACTACATTGAAATTGTTGTGATTGGACAACAAATCTCTTGTGACCATTAACTATGTATATATTAGTGTGTATTAGCCCACAGTCCCTCTATCCCTATCTCTATCTCTATCTAGAGGGACTGTGTATTAACCATATTGTTCCAAACACAGCAACATTGCAGCAGTTCACTATGTGCTTCTCTAGTTCGTTACACCATTAGAACTGGTTAATTCAAACCACTTTAATGAGAATACATCGTTTGGCTAAATACTCTCATTCACAAGCATTATGAACCGTGCCAGCACACCAGTGACTTTGACTAAACATTTCACTACTGTGTCAGTACATACATTTTGTTTGGATAACTTTGCCATTTATTATATACAAATTTATACTATTGAATTAAATAAATTAAAAGACAATCACATCGTGATCTATATTCAAGTGTCCAAGTCCCCTGCTGTCAGTATGATGTCTCCTGAAGCACACTTCAAAACTGGCAGCGCCCTCATTTCCATTCCACTCATTCCGGCTTTCACCACTGCCACACCTTAATTTGTATAAAAATGTGGTAATTTGCCACATTTTGTTCAAATAAAGAATAAATGCGTATGTTCATAAATATGAAATCATGAAAATTGTCTTCAGGTGTATACATGTCACTTTTGTATGCAACCAATTTTTTCCAAAGTGGAGGTATATCTTAATGTTCAAATGTGTGATGTTTCGCTAAAGGGAACCTTCAACCTCAGAACAATATGTTGGTGACAGTAATCAAGCCTGAAAAAATAAGAGAAAATATTAATACTAGACCAGATTTGAGAAATGAGGTAAAAATAATTAATTAATCACTAACTACTGCGAAAGTTATAGATGAACATGTTTATTTATATTTCAAAATGATGCACACAACACAAGTTTGTCTGTTTGTAAGCGAATATTTTCAAAAAGCAAATTGATTATGATAGTGGCAAATCTGTCTATACACATAATAAATAATAAATAATAAATACGAGTGAAACATTTATCAAAATTGTTATGTAATTATAAATTTTTATCCAGTATGAACTGTTTTTTGGACTGGCGGCCATTTTTGTCCCAAAAAATAAACATTTGGACACGTCATCAACCGTTTTTTGGACATGCCTTCACTCATTCAAAAATCGACATCAGTCATAGTGGATTACAGATGCACTTCATTTTTTTTCGTGATTCAATTTAGAATAGCCAACTGGTGGCCATTTTGTTTTTTCATGAGTGTTCTGCCTATTTTACAGAGATAAGGCAAGATATAATAGGTTAAATACTGTTTTAATAATTTTTTTTAGTGAAATGGTGGCCTTTTACATGAAAACAAATAAAATTGCAAAATTTGAACATGTCCAAAAGTTTTTTTCGGCACCACAGTGTGCATGATCAGTGAAAGTAATGTGAACTTGATGGCCCCACAGTGTGCATGATCAGTGAAAGTAATGTGAACTTGATGGCACCAGTGTGCATGTCGATTATTGATCAAGCATTGTGTTAATATGCTAAATACTATCCCAATATTTAGACATAATCTGACTATGCTTTTCATTGTTTGACAGTCATTAAAAACATGACAGGACTATGTCATTGATAATGACTTGTTGTTAATATATTGTTACTTTTTTTTCAGAGAGTGATAGTTGCTATTCATAGTTGTCAGCGCATTATGATTGCTGGAAGTTTGGATCCGGCAATTATTATGGATCTAGATGCAATCGATAGATTTGGACCTGAAAAAAACCAAAAGTATTCTGACGAAATTTTCAAATTTCTTGCTGAGAAAACTGGATTAGGTTTTGATAGGTGGGTAGTAACCCTGAATAAAAATAACAATAGAGCAAATATTACTTTAAGATCAATGGTGTTCATATATGTATATAGGATTCCTTTAAAACCTATAATATTTCCATCATATACCAAACTATAGGATTCTTTAATATATAATATCCCTATATATAGGACCTTTAATCATATAATGTACAGCTGTATGGCAACCGCTGAAGAAATCCCGACTGGACGCATCTGCGGGCTTTTGACTGCTATTAATTATTCATGATGTCATTGATTATTTATGAGTGGCTGTGTGAAAGTAAACATGACCCTTTTAAAGATTGATTTGATTCAATCACAGAGATGGATACTTTAACTTGCGAAGGCAACACTTTCATCCATGTTTACTGAAAACAAGTCGATTTAAATGTCAATGTATGCAAGCAGTCTTTCAAAATCGCCGGGATCTCAGAAGTGAAAGGTCATGTACATTAACATAGACAAGATATGACGTATACAGCTGCACTCTGATTCGTTGTCAATGCTAATCAACAACTTTAATTAGCATAATCACCGGAGTGATTCCGCTCCGATTTTCACTCCAACGCAGGGGGTTGCCTGCAGATGCGTCCAGTCAGGATTTCTTTGGCAGTCACACTAGTTTTCATGATCACATTAAAAAGGCTAAATTGACAATTAATTTTTTTTTGTAAACCAAAAAAGAAGTCTCGACTTTGCCAATCTAGCATGTACATGTATGTATGTAGATTACAAATACTGCTTGATAGTAATATTTAATTCTTTCTTAATTTTCATTATAGGATTAAATTAAAGTTTTATGATTTACCTGCATATGATGTTGGAGTATATTCCAAGGCAACACAATAGTTGTTTGGGAAATGGACGTGCACGAGAACATGATGTAAACTCACAAACTGTACCAAGGTGTATAATGATTATGTTTAGCATTACTTTGCAATAAATGAACACTTTTTAGATCCACAATCAATGTGAATTTATTTTCATTGTAATCAGTATTAATTTATCATAGTTGTGACTTTGAATGTGTTAGTGTTTAATATGTTTTCTGAAAATTAACACAAAAACTGTGCTGTGTACGTCTCAGCAGAATGTACCATGTATAAGGAGCAATGTGTCATCTAAATTTACCATTTCCAGTACTAAGGTTGGAACATTGATAGTACACTCCTCTTTACTCCTGC